GACTATGAAAAATAAAAAATGTCAGGCCCTTTTTATGCGTCTCGATACGCGTTTGTAGAGTAATCTTCATAATCACTGTTCTGACGTCCGAAGGAAGTTCCTGCCGACGAGCGCAGGGTCCGGAATTTTTCCGATGGCACGATCAACTTACAGCCTTCTCAAGAAAGTAGGTGTATGCCAAATGCTGATTCCATGGAGGAATTTGCCTATGAACTATGTAAAGAGGTCATAAAATTTCAGCGGCAATTGACCTCATCGTTTATGGGCACTAGCCTCGTGGATAGGGTTGAAATGGGAAGGAAGATATATAACAATCATGTTATAAATCAGAGATCCCCTCAACTTCGCCAAGGATAGATTCTTCGGCTTCCCGGATCCAAAATCGTGGTCACCCTGGATTCCGTGTTTGGAGTATGTACATATCATTACGCTTTATCGGTTTTCGGCGGCCGCATATGCTTGATTGTAACCCATTGGGGGGGGGGGGGGGGGGGGGGGGGAAGCGGGTCCCGGACAGACGCAATATTTTATATCAAATTAGGGGAAGTGATCTTTAAAGGGGGAAGAATTGGATTTTGGAAAAAGGCTGGCGTATCTCAGTGCAGAGCACCGGTAGACAGGAGAACAAGTCCGATATGTAATGAGAGAGGTTGTTAGACGTAAGGAACCTATATATAGTAGTATTGCTTGGAGTATGAAGTTGCAGCGTTTTTCGAAGCTGCTTTACAGGAATATCGGAAAGCCCAAAGCAATACAACTATGCACAAAGCCGCAAGTTGCACTCAGTGACCATCTCCTCCCTCCACTTAATATAAAAAGCCCGACGTAACTACAAGATGCAGGTCATAAGAACAGCAAATCTCATCATCGGACTTCTCGTGTTGACATAAACCTTCCCACTAAACTCCCTTTGACCCAGAACCACAAAATGACACCAACAGGGCGTGTTGCGCTGTCAGGCGCTGAGTTGAAAGAGCGCAATGTTTGGACGAGAATTAAACTATTTTGAGTCATTAGATAACTAAGTTTGAGGAGGCTGATCCCGAATTTGGTTTGTTAAGTCCGTGATAGCGGAATTCGAGCCCCGTTAGCTGTCAAGTCCGGCGCATGCCCGCCGACCCTCAGGCATTCATTCATATGTTTTTGCTCCCTAACGCGACAAGGGGACTTTGATGACGAGGGATCCCGGGAATCCACCTCTTGCCAGGGTGCTTGGCAGGCAGGGCTGGTTCAACCCACAGAATAAATAATTAATAATGATGGTGTTTTTAGTCTGTTTGGACCAAAGGCTGGCCCAGGCAAACAAGCCCAAGGGCTACTAGGATACCAGTTTCAACGTTCCATACAAAACTTTGATATTTCTCTGGCGGTGAAGCCTTGCAGAACACATGCATTTCTCCGGTATGGTTTAATTGCATGCCATTGAAATGCGCAGATACTACTATACGTCAGTTAGCATTTTGGAAATGGCATTCACTTTCATGAAAAATCATTAAGTCATTGACGTCCACGGGCCAATACACCCATTCCAATGACCCCCATGATTATCAAATGATAATTATTCATCATGCTCCGCGATGGTGTCATACGATACCTGATTCGCTAGGAGAAAGCATTGACCAAGCCCTATTATTTATTTAATCCGAAGGGCGCACTGGCGCACCAGTCAAGGTCCTTCAAATAATTATTAACAAGCAGCTGCTGATAGAGCAAACAGGATTGAATAGACGTAACTAATCAGGTGAGAGCTAACCTTCTGGAGTTAATTATTAACGAAGAATTGCTGGCATCCATGGATCAAAGAGCGAGGCCAGTAATAATGTCAGACACGTTTGAGCCAGTCAGAGCAGAATTGGACAAGTTCATCTGGAGGTTCTCTTCAAGTCCAAAGGGCGTTACAGCGGAGCAACTACCCACTGGAGTTTAATTATTGAAGAGGAACGAGGACTTCCGCGGCCATTTTCAAGGACTTTGAATGTTCGTAGCTCCCAAGGTACTTTAATTTTAGTCAGCAAGCAGAGGCCTAGCTATTGGCCTAACCAAATTGACCTGGGTATTGCTGGAATGTTGGATCTTCTTCATTGACGTGATCAGCTGAATAATGAAGATCAAAATAGTTAACTATAGTTAGCGACAGAGTAACCAACTAGTTGTTAGCTAACTAAGTTAGGTAAGTGTGCTAGCGAGTTTATCAAGCCACCGTAAAGACTGCAAGCTGCATCGTCATTTTGGCATGAATGATACACCGAATGATTGAATTAACTCGTCAGTTGAGTTTGGTTATGGAGTTGGAGAGAGGTTTTGTTTGAGGCTCCTTTAAGCTTGTTTGGCTCTTGTGTTACCAGATCCAAAACCTTAAAGCCACGACGGGACCAGGCTCAATCAGTCCATTCCTGACCTCGCAGACAGCTAGGTTTCTTCCCAATCCGTTTTGTCCTTGCTAATAGTAACGGATAATAGTGATGGCTGGACCTGAAGTTACCGGTTCCATGCGCCCGCACAATCGTCGTCCAGAGCCAACCGAGTCATTCATGGATGGTGCGATACGGTGTGCTCGATACGGAATCCAGATGCACACACGCCCTGCCAAGAACAAAGCAGGGTTCCACCCGCCCCTCCTTGGCACTTATCTCGATTGATCAGTGATCGCTAAACTAAACGCCGGGACCCTCCTATGGCCCTTTTTCATCCGTTTCTTCTGTGATTCGGTGTTTTCCGCGGCCAGATGGGCACGAGGTTGAAGCTAAATATTCTTATCTGTCTAAACATCCATGGATCCTTATTTCTATGCCCCATTTAAGGATTTATGGACAAAACCGTAAAAGGAAAAGGAAAAGAGAAAGAAAAAAATTTATTTGACTGGGGAAATTACATTCGAAGGTAGGAATTACTAGATGTGGGCCTCACCAAGCGCGCAACTTCGCCCTACATAGGTTTGAGGAGTTTCCTCACCACCGAGGTAGTTATGATTAACTACATTTTTGCAAAATGGGCGGGGCATGAAGGTGTGATTTTACTCAACTGAAAATTGACACGAAAGGACGTTCACAGTCATATAAGCCCAGTTGGCAGCTATACAACATTCAACATTCTCAAAAGGGGAGGAGACATCGCACATCACCAATTAAAGGGTAATTAATATATATTAAAAGAGCAATTGGGCTCAATCAAGTAAAGGAATAGGCTTAAAACTTTACGATATTTCTTGTGCGTGCCATTGCATTCATTTACTTTTTCCTCTGCCCCACATTCACCCCGCAACCCCTACTTTCCAAACTTTAAATAACAGAAAAAAATTATGGTTTGGGAAGAAGTGGAAAGTGAAAACGCCCCTCCAACTCCACAGCTGGCGAGAAATGAGATGATTCCCCTTTCGCTTCTGCCCGTTTTGTCTTCGAAGGGATCGCTGCGGGAGAGTTCCAGCTCTTTTGACATCTCGGAAAGATGCGGAGAAGTTTGTAAATATCTGGTCAACATGAACTCTATGTACCCGACATAAACTTTGCGCCACAACTTTGACAGACGAGGAGCTAAGCTTACATCAATCTTGAAATTTACCTCCATAGCAACAGGACAACCATGGTTTCATTGAGACTTCATACTTCTCTGCTGTTTCACTGAAATTTGAAGTCAATTGTGCTGAATCAGCTTTCATGGCATTGATAGCTGTGTTGGGGGCGGAGGGGGGGAGGGGGGAGGGTTTGTTGGCTATGCTTATTATTTTTCGGTGGGTTGCAGTTAAAAAGTGGGCGTGGGGTGTGAGTCATGTTACTGTTTTAACTACGGATTTTTTAGTTATAGGAATAGCAAATACATTAGGCGTGAGTTTCCATCATGGGATGCCATGTGCTCCTATGATTTGTTCCGGATGGATTGAGTTAAGGTTGTAGGTTACTCTGAGTTAACCGCTCTTGCGGAGCGTTCTCTGTAACTTAATTTCCCCTCAGCGTCAGCCTTAGATGTCTATTTGGCTAGAACAACCAGTAACTATCAAGAGTGTGAACAACCAACAGGCGTTGGAAGGTATTGTGGCGACTTTAGGAGTTAAGAAACATTCCCCCATAGGAGAGAATCAACTAGTTACTGGTTACTGCGGAGAACGAAAACGTTTCGGAAAACATTTTACATGGTAAGGAGGCTGTTTTATAACCACGTAAGGCGTCTCCCGCAGTTAAAGTTAGAACACAGGCTGTTGAACTTGCATTTTCCATCTCCAGTTCTGATCTGACGCACGGATATAGCCTAGCTCAACGGTCATACATTGAATAATTTATCTTGGTGGTTGAACACATGAGAAGAACACAGTCATCAGTGTCACATACAGGGGCAGGGGTTTATTCTCTGCTAAGGGGCGTTCTAGAACCCCATTCAGTAGTTAAAGCTTGACAGGCAAGGAGCTGAAGACAAATCACATCTGGAGGAACTAACTATTTAGCTGTGGTTCAGCGACTTGGATCATTGACGAGCGAGCTCATTGGGGAACTTATGGGCTTGGAGGCATGAGTTTTTTCTGATTGGTATCAAGCCCAACATTTCTACCGGAAAATTAAGGCTTGCGGAGACTAAATAACGTAATTCATCCTACCGAGCACAACTTTACCAGAACATCGTCTTCAACTTCATATGTCCTCAACTAATTAATTCAATATGACAGCTTCAAATCAAGAAGAAAGGCTCTGTCATTCAAGTTTATAACAATGACCAATTTACTGATATCCGAGTTGGCTCCTAAGTCATATAATGTTTCTCATACAAGCCTCTTCTAATTAACTATAGAATTGATAAATATGTTTAAAGTTTTAGAAGGAATATCAAAAACCAACTTTTGCAACGAAAAATCCCTAGTTCAGAGAATCATGTTTATGAATTAATGAGGTCAACTCTTTTAAATTGAAAATATATAAGATATGATCAATATACTTCCTTTAGGTCAGATATGGTTGGAAAAATTAACTCTTTAAATTCTTGAGCTAAATGTAACGGGCATGCGACCGAATTACGGCCCTAGCACTTCCATATAGAACAAAAAGACGAATTCGTCAAAGGAGAAGAAGAAGAGAAGAGAAACGAGAATGAAAGCTACGAAGGTTCATACGGGGAAGAAGGATAATCCGGGCTCAGAGTTTTGGTTACGACAGGTTAGGTGTTACCCTATTACACTGAAATCTTAATTTAAAATAATAAATTTATAGTTATATAAATGACTGATAAACTCGCTAATAATGATTTAAAATTATAAATATTTAATTTAAATTAGTAAATCATTTACTATTTAATTAAATACTATAAAGTAGATAATAAATATTAAATTAACTAATAATTGATTAATGTCTCTTCTATTATAATTATCATGAAAAGAAAAAATCATCAAACTTTTTAGTATAAAATTATTTTCTCATGTTTAAAAATTAAAATTACCAAAATAACTAAATTAATAATAATTTAAATTTAACTATGAAAGCTAAGAAATTCCATATAAATAAAGTTTATTTTTAATATTAAGTAAAGTTACATTATTTAATAGTTACATTTTACATCCATTATTTAATTATTATATTATATTATACTTTATTTTGTATATCTACTGTATTGATTAGATATAAGCTATTTTATCTTATTAAAAAAGATAAATAATTACAATATTAAATTAAATAGCTATAGAAATAAAAATTTTCTTAATATATTATTATTTTCTATGCTAAATCTTTTAAAAAATGTATCAATTAATAAAATGATAAACTTTAAACTATAGACTTGATATTATGTAATTCAGAGAAAGTTCTTATCTATAAACCCAAATTGACATGACTTAACTTTTTGGAAACATCTGATAAGCCTACAAGCTTTTAGAACTTGGAACTTCTAGTAACCTTGATCAATTAGTGTAGTAGTTAGAGTGAGAAGATCAACTAATTTCTTCAATGTTGCATGCAGAGTTTGTCTATATTTACTCATCAAGCAATTAATGAATTGATAAAGATGTATCAACTGGTTATGAATACTTAGTGCAGTGATCGTAGTGAAAGAAAACAGTCAGTTACACACTGTTAACATTAAAGAGAAGCGAAGGAGGAGTAAAAAATCACGCACTTATTGCTGGGAAAGGGGTCTTAACAGGTGCTGAAGCTCATACAAGAAGTGTTGTGTTATATTGGGTGAGCTGCAGTCAAGGGTAAAGGGGAGAGAATCGTTCAGTTGAAAATCGCCCAGTGACTGAAGAGCATAATCACACCAATTGATATTTAATAAATTCTGCTCAGATCTTCAAAATTCGGCGCTCCAGAAGGGGATTATTTACGTTATATATAAAATTTCTCAAGATTCTTGTGACTGGGAAAACAGGGAGCAAACACTAAAGGAGGCACCTTGGCAGACTGCTGCTGTCCAGATGCTCATGTATTTCTGGGATTTGACCGGGCCAGGGTTCAGCTTCAAAAAGAAATTCTAGCAAACGAGGCGCGACACTCGAAATAAACTGAGTCATGCAACAGGTGGTCCTCCTGTTGGGCTGAAATGAAGGCGCCTGGTCTAGTTATCCGTAGATTGGAGGGAAGAGCACTTGAATAGCTCAGTTATGGCAGTCCATCTTCACTGAAATCGTGTATAGTTCAAGCAAACTCTGAAAGACCAATCGATCAACGATGGCAAAAGGACGAGGCCGACAAGAACAAAACTCCCTTATCCTTTAAGCCCCAATCCTTCTCATGCAAACCCTACACAACTCCAAAACAACCCAAACAACCCTCTCTACAGACCTTAATCCGCTAAACAACAACTACGCCTTGATGCCACAAAAAGAAAGAGAGAAAGAAAGAAAGAAACTCCAACGCCCTGTTGAATACTGTCACTCTCATCACTGTGGGTGATTCCCTGGGAAATCGCTGCACTGAATCCTACCCTCCATTTCTTAGATACTCGCGAGCGGCGATGGTGTTATCAATCGCGGTTCTCCGTCGTTGCCGATGTCTTCTCCACCACTTCAGAGCCTCCCACGGCCCACTGCAATGTGCAGTCTCCCTGGAGGTGACATTCAACTCGGATGACGATGACGCCTGCAACCGTGGGTGCCCGTTTCGAATGAGATTTGCAACAGAAAGTTCCACGCCGCGAGGATGGGTATTGGGCTGTGTTGCCAAGGGACTATTCGGTTGTTTTAAGTGATAATACGTTCGGCGGCACAACGGGCAGCTTGCATCTCGTTGCGTCATCCAGTTGTCAATGCATGGTTTGTGGAAGATGTGCTGGCAGGGCAGTTCTCGAAACCTCGTGTCGCAGTCGAGGTCCTCAAAGCACAGAATACATCCTATTTCCTGCATTTGTCCCTTTAGCCCGTCTGCTTATTTTAATTAATTAATTAAAATAATTTTTGGTTAGCAAAACCGATCTCGCTTGTTCACAGCTAAATTTCAAATGCAACAGGTGGGCACAACACACACACACACACACACACACACACACCTTTCTCTATAGGAATGCCAGAAAAACAGCGCATTCGGGCATGGTCAAGCTCCTCAATGGACAGCGTGGGCAGGCAATACATGGAATGTGCAGGCGTCATGGCGTAACTACACGTTTCGGCTGATAAATAAGCAGCAATTGGAACCTGTGCTTGCGAGAACGATGGGATATTTGTGCGTGAGAGAGAGAAAACGAATCAAGGAGCGGCTATCCTTTATAGTCAACTACAACATTGACATTTAGTAAAAAAGAAAAAGAAAAATAAGAAGCAACAAGCAAACTTAAGTGATTCACCCAGGGCCCAAGCATTGCAGAGCTGTTGGTTTTATTTTCTTTGTACCGCCCAACTTTTCTCCGAAGGTTTTCTTCCAGAGAGTTTTCAACAACAATCAAGCTTCCTCCCTGGCCAGTTGGTTTGGCGTTCACCGGAGAACTATGACATCACTTCCAAACCAAGCGGCGGGCACTAATCAGACCTTGATTTCGAGGGAAGTTCATGATGTAGGGGTTGAACCAATGGCGTAGGGGACATCAGAGTTCGTTAGTAAGTGAATTCCCCCTCTTTGATTCCAAATTCGTTATTTTGCTTCCATGGTACTCACCGTAGTTAATTTGCTCCTCTTGATACGAAGAGATATCAAATTAATAAAGTTCTCTCGTACTTGTTACCCCTCCATATTTTCTCCGTCTGTTTTAACTTCCTTAGCAGATTATTATTGAAAGGGGGGGGGGGGGGGGGGGGGGGGGGGGCTTACCATTGTATTGCATTGCAATTGTCCCTATTGAGACGGGGGATTTATGCTTCGAAGAGAACCGAACCGCAGACCGCTTCTGACCAAGAAAACAAACAGCCCTAGTGTGGTTATTGTAGCTGGTTCAACAAGATCAGCCAGCTGGAGAAATTGTAGGCGAAATGATCGAGTTTTTTTTTCTTGCCACGATCGAAACTTTCTCCCATGATTATCATTCGAGATTGGGGATGAATCTCGAAGCAATGGAGGGCAATGAATGGTATCGACCGAATAATAAACGGAGCCGAAGGAGGTTGACTAAACTCAAAGATCATGAAAACCACCGACCGAGAAGGTAGTCGACCAATTAAATTTGCTCGGGACTCTTCGACAAGCGACTTAAGCTAGTTAGCTGGACAACTTAAGTTGGTTATTTACTGAGCACTTGGGGCTTCTGGCTAACCCGAACCCTTGCCTAACTTCTAGTTATATAGACTTATCTCCGACGAGTGTTTCCCGATGTTGAAGGCGGAGCGACTGGAGACTGTCACATCCATGGATATTTTGCTCTAATGCCGATAACTATCCGTTCGCTGGCACGGTGAGGCTAACGCGAGCCTCGATCCATGGCAGTTGTTGATATTGTCAATACCGTCGTGGTCTGCATTCGTCTTGACCTGGGGGAGTTCTGCTCCGGCGAGGTATATGATTTGAGGCGATCAGGGAAAACCCGGTCGTCTGTTATATGCCCGGATTCTCAGCCGGGAGAAATCTCAAGTTCTTAACGATTTTCACATATATATACCCTGTGTGGAGTAGTAGCTGGTTGTATCCCCGCTCTTACTTTCGATCTCGCCCTCATTCAGAGAATCTGTTTCACAACATCTTTCTCATCCGAATACGTGCAATACGCACAATGTGTGCATGGAGGTGCGTAACTTATAGAAATGTTCGCACTAATTCTTCCCACAATTTCTCCTTTTTACTGCCTGATTAATTCCGGAGATTAAGAATTTGGAAGATTTCATTCAACTTCTGAAACATTCTGCAACCCATCGGACAGCCAAATATACCCCCTTGTCATGAACCATATGACTGGGCTTCCATACAATCCTCGAGTTTTACTGTGCTGTTCGTGTGTGAAAGGGGAAGAGAGAGAGAAAAAAAAAAAAAAAGAGAGAGAGAGAACGTCAACAGCCGATTATACTCTCCGCTACAATATCTGTGACAGCTTGAGTATTGCACCCGGCGGTTCAGTGGAAATTTCTGCCGGAGAAGCGGGGGTAATAATCATTCTCAGTTTATATCTGTTTTTGATCCCCTCAATTCCTTTATTTACGTCCTTTTTCTGTATCAAGAATGTTGTGCTTTCGCGCCGGGATGTTTTAACACCTTGATGCGCTGGTCGAACCCCGAATGGAGAGAGCCATAAGTGCCTGAGTCTGTCGTCCACGAAACTGGCTTTTTATACAATTCTGTCGGAAATACTTCACGCAATAGGATACAGTTAATATTTACTGAAAAGGCCTTGCTTGCCTCTCTAATTTCCCCGCCTCTTCCTCCTGCCATCAGAGTGACCTTGCTAATCTTCTCAAAGACCTCGGCTGGCCAAAAAGTGCACAAGGAAAATCCTGCCACAGCAACAATGCCATTCCAAAAGTTAACCTCAGGCATCTCCCTGCAAAATAGATTGCTATTCATCATTGGAGTGTCCGTATCTTTCATCTTGGCTGAACTTGCTATTGGGTTTACCACGCATTCAGTTGCAGTCGTGGCAGATGCATTCCACTATATCGGTGATGTCTTCTCATTTGTGGTGGCCTTACTGGCTAATAAGGTGACTTGATCCACGCCCATCCATTTTTCTTTTTCAGAGAAGGGTTTGCCTGGCTCATGGGAATGCCATCTTGACATGTTCTGGCTACTAATGGTGGAAGTGGATGTCTTTTAACGAACTGACATGTAACTAAATTTCATCATGTTTGTCCAAACTAGTGGTCTGCCGATTCGGCCAAAAGTTGCAAGACTGCTGGAACACTAGAGCAAACGAATGGTTTGAGGAAAAGCCTGTCCAGCCTGGAGGCACAGCAAACTTCTTTGGAACAAAAAGGCCAACGTGGTTCTCATATACTTCCGAACCTGGCGGCCTTTTTCAACAGCGTTTTCCTTCTCGCTCTTGGGCTAGGTATCTTCCTTCAAGCAATTGAAAGGTTTGTGCATCTCGAGCGTGAGTTTTGTATCTTTTTATAACTCTGTATCGGAGCACTTGATAACAAACGCCTTAGCAATAACAAATCCGCAAATGGTCATGGTAATGGGATGTGTCGGAGTCTTCTTGAATGCCATCAGCGCGCTCGCTCTCGGCGAGCATGGCCATTCCCATTCTCATGACAACAGTGGTTCATTGCCAGAACCAAGCCCTCCCCTATCCGCCTCCCCAATGGATGCAGACACCGGTCATCACAGGCATCAGCACCTGGATCACTCCCTTTCCATCAAAGCCGTTCTCCTTCATATAGCTGGCGATGCTCTCAACAACCTTGCTGTTATCATTTCTGCTCTAGTGATGTGGAAGGCGCCGCCAAAATCTCCACCAGTCCGTGAACCTCACAAACCGTTGGCCAAGTACTACGCTGACCCTGCTTGTACGATGCTAATTGCTATCCTTATTATGTTTGGGTCGGCACCGCTGGTTATCAAGTCTGGAAGAGCCTTGATGGAGCAAGCAGAAGTGTCAGACGAGATGAGATTGCTAGGTTCAAGGGGCCCATCTGAATCGACCGATTTGCGCGAGACGTGCGCAAGTGCGGGTGGACAGAAAGTCGCGGAAGTGATGATCGATGACGCTAGATAATACATACGGGGACCTGGGAATCTTTGTGGTTGGGATAAAGGGACCGGAAAAGTGGGTTTCCTGGGTTTCATCCGGGTTTCCACGAGTATTTTCTATCTGATTCGTTTTAGGGCTATCTATATTCACGACGAGTTATTGGCTCGGATTTGATTTCATTATGGTTATTGGGTCTTTTGATTTTCCTCTGGTTGGAATCCGAATCCAAGTGGTTTACTGATTTTGAGGCTGTGAGTATAGAGCGCGTTGGTTGAGAAATGTGTTTCGATACGGTCACTTGCATCGGTACTCCCTTTTCCGTCAACCAATCCCCCCTGTGTTTAGACCTCTAGTTATCTGCCCAACATATTGGATATTTACTTAATTGACTTAAATCTCTGTAGAATTTTCCTTTTCATAAGACGTCCGCAAAGCATCTCCTTCATTCACGGTCTCACTTGACTTGCGTGGGCGTACCGAAGAAAGGGGATCGATCCTAGAAGTCGAATCCTTTCCCTCAATGCGTAGCCCCTGACGTTGAAACAAACATCGACGTTGAAATTGAATATCCGCAGTACTACGTCACATGAATCTGCAGTGTGACACCCATTTGCCCCAAATCGCGCCTTGCTTCTCAATTCATCAGGCCTGGATCTTGAAGAACCTTGAGTGCTATTTACTTGGTTATTCAATGCCAATGCAGAATAGGATATCTGAACTTCCTCAGGGGTCAAGGGTGACTGGGTGTGTGTTTAATGGCTTTTTTTTTTAACCGGAGATCATTTGTTTTCTTCATGCCCGATAACAGTGCCATTCAGACAAGACACTTTTTGAAGCTGTCACTCCGCCACGAACAATATAATTGATATAACTGATGTTGTTCGTGGTATTGATTTTTTTTTATTTTTTTTTATATTTTATATTTTTTTTTCCCATTTTCCTTTACTTAATATGGAACCACCTTAATAGCTCTGAGCAGAAAATAATCAACTTTTCAACTCCTTGAAAAGTCGCACAGCCTTTCTAAAATCCCTGATAGGAAACATCTCGAGGACCCGATCGAAAAGGGATCAAAAGCCACATCTTGCTGTTGTTACACCTATGTGGCTATGTAACTCCCGGGCGGCTATTCGCATAGTCTTCATACCACGTTACGTTTAGTTTATTGGCATCGGATCCTTCTCTCGAGTATCTGCTATACAATGTTGTCAGACGTATAATCGCCGCGTACTAGATCTAAGCCACTATCATCCTTAGCATATACCCTTTCTGGCCAACTTGGAGTCCCTCATCCTTCCTCTGACATATGGGTTCTCCATTTTCATGGCCAGATCTTGGCCACTGCTTGCCAACTCTTGAACCTTCCAAGCCGTAGCGTGTTGAAATTGTGCGATAGAAAGATCATTCTGTGATGGCATTCCGTTCCACCACGGAGGTCCAAGATCTGGGGAGCCTAAGATCTAGACTTGGACATGCCCCGGGAAAAGAAGAAAATATCGAAATTTGCATTGGTCGATTGCTAGTTCTGAAATAACATGTCATCAAACCATTGCAGATATATTGAAATATCAGCGATGAAACAAGAAAGATATAATAGCCATAATTTGCTTTTCCTTTTCCCTCCTGATACTTGTGACTGTAACATGCGGGTAATTTAAGCAGGAATGCTATGCCCTCCTCCATCTCGAGGGAGGCTAACCCCGCTATATTCCGCTATCATTTTTTCGAAAGCAGCCTGCGCTACCAGGTACGCTGTAGCTTGGAGATGGTTGCTGATGGTGGAGCCTGTTAGATAATGTTCACACTCTGAGAAGAGCGATAGTTAAATGGGAAGTTATGTATGTCAGGCTCTTGCTCACTTTGGCGTCATTGGACAGATACTCAAATCAACTACCCGCAACTTTTCAACGCCATATACTCGGAAATTTGGGTCGGTACAGGCTGCGGAGTCATCAGCTTTACCCATTTTTACCGTACCATTGGCATGAAAAATGGGGAGTAATTGTTCTTCTATGAATTCCTATATATTCAAGTCCGCTAAATTAGACGATGGAACAGTAGCTTACTTTTATCCTAACATGCGAAGACAAATGGGAGGGGTAGCCGGATTAGCCAATTGCGGAAAACCTACGTAGATATCTTCATCTGATTGGCTTTTCGGTGCCAGCACATACCCGTTAAATTCCGGTTCAATCGCCCCAGATTCGAAAAATTTCATGATTTCCCTGACTGCAAGGCTCAGCATTCGTCGATCATAAGGGTGAGACATGTAATTTGGGTTAATGATGGGATTATTGTTCGGGTTCGCGGATTTCAGCGTAACTTCACCCCTAGACTGCATATTCATAAGACCAACTCCGGCACACAGAAATGATGTGCCCTCCGGAATGACGTACGTCGGGGGAATCTGAGGTCCTCCGAAAATTATTTCATAATGGGGAACAGAACCATGAGCCAGGTGCTGCTTCGAGAGTGTTCCTAAGCTCTGATATTCATCTGTTTTCAGAATGGCTTCTTCCTTTAACCACCCTGTGATCATACAAGACCGATGTAGATTTATCACCCCTGTTCCGTCTTGTTTCCATTGTTCCCGCGCGGCTCGACGGGCATCTGGATCAGAGTCAAATTTCCATCGATCGAGGAGGCCGAAACCTTGTGCGTATGATGCTCCTAAACAAACCAAGACGTGGTCCGATAGATTTTTGCCTACTCCAGGGAGATCATGAATGACCTGAATATTGTGCTGGGACAGCTCTTCCTTGGGGCCAATGCCGGATAATAACAGGATCTTCGGAGTGTCAAAACAACCCGCTGACAATATTACTTCCTGATTCGCGACAACTAGTTGTGGACTTGTGAGACAGAGTGAGATGAGATGGGGTGAGGAAGTTCAATGTCACGGACATGTTCTGCCATCAATTGTTTCGACACCAACGGCAACCTTGTTTTCAAAAGTAATTTTGGCAACTTTTGCATCAGTCACCATAGTCAAATTTCCGGGGCGACGGCTGGTGTATATCGATTCACTGGTAGAGCGATAGCCTTTGAAAGACGAACTAGGCGCGATAGATATCCCGATTGGGCACCCCGAATTAACGTCTAGGTTTAATGGCATCTAGCATGGGAAAATTAGAGTTGTGTGAAGTCCTGGCTCTTGTTATATTGGGAAAAACGCACACCATATCTCGTAGCAGCATCCAAAATTCCCGTTATTCCATTCTCCGGGTGAGACGGCAAGCTCACATGGAGGGGCCTACATCCGTCTAGCCTCTTGCCTCAAAATATTGGCTTGTCGGGGTTTTCTAGAAATACTTACCCTTTCTGGCCGTGGTCCTCTGTCAAAGGATGAGCATACTTTTTCAAAACCCCAGGGACCTCCGTGTGGAACGTCTCTATCTTTTTTTTTTCAGTCAGAGGCCAGTGTTTGCATGAAGGTGGAGCATGACATCAGTCTACCTCTTTAAATCTCCTCTGGGTCTGATCCCACCTCCAAAAGTCATCACCAACAAGCTCAGCCCAATGGTTATAATCCTCTCCAGAACCATATAGATAAACCATGAAGTTGATGTTTGAAGAGCCTCCTGGTCCCTTTCCACGGAAATATGGGATTTCTCGATCCCTGAGGAAGGCTTGGGGCGTCGAAACATAGCCAAGGTCCAAATCCGGCCGCTCAAATACCTGGAACTTGTCATACTGGCACAGATGTGTATTATCGGGGTATGCACTTCCAGACTCCAGAACCACCACTGTGTGATCCGGTAGTGCAGTTGCCAGACGCGTGGCGAGGAGAAGACCTGCAGTGCCCGCTACGAAACATTAGCGACACGTTCTTCATGCCAGGGTGATAGTGCGCGAATCCATACCTCCGACAACGATGAAATCGTAGCTGTTTGCCATTGCACCGCTGCTTTTCTTTCAAACTTCCCTTCTGATCATCCGTACAATAAATTGCGGAGAGGTGGTAAAGATGGAAAGAAGAGGGGTTGTTTGCCTCCATATAAGCCAGTGCTATTCCACGGATTGCAAGCTATCCTAGCGGTTAGTGCATAGAAGTCCAAATATAAGTACCATGTTCGGACATGGGAGGAGAGCTGAATTTTCGGAGCCCTAATGGAACGGCAGTGTATTTGAGAGTGGAGCTGAGCTGAATATTAGAAGATAGTCACAATAAACAGTCTTCTTATATATATATATATATATATCCGAGACATTTGCCAGGACCTTACAGCATCGGCCGCGAGGGCTAATAGAATGAATCAAAAGAATTCACCACAGGATGTACTCTCCTATCGTGGCTTCTAGCTACCGCGAAGCACATCGTATATATATAAACTAAACCATGCAAGACTGGCAGCGGCTTTTTTTCAGACACTTTGGCTGCATAGGGAGCTGCTGATTTAGGAGGCTGGGTTCTTATATCCGCCTATTGTCAAGAATATGTGCATACTTCTTATAGTCACTTTGAAGATTCGTAGAAACCCTCTTTATGCTGTTTTCAAAACACTTCTCTTCAGACGAAAAGGTAGGTAGACGTGAACTAAAACGGCATACCGCTGTCTATGAGCTGAAAAATCATCACTGATTAAACAGCTCGGTGTCAGCAGCCATGACTTCATATCCCAACCGAAATAAGAGCAACGCTGATGGTGACCAAGGCGAGTTGTATGCTAAAAAAAAGAAATCAGCATTTGCGGGTAATAGCGGGCAGAGGTGCTGAATGCTAGGTTTTCTCTTTGCAAGCTCATGATTTCTGTTGACTGTAACATCTTGAATTCAATCGAAAGGATAATCTGTGATTTCTTTTCCTCCCATTTGTCCATCAGGAAATATTGAGCGAACTTTCCTCGCGGTTGAAATATTCCGTAGCAAACAGCGATCAAATTGCACCGCATTTGCAGAGGGATGAGAATCTCGCACATACTTTCTGCAAGACAAATTGTTGTTCTGCCACTGGTAGAACAGAATGAGATTAACCGGGAAGAATATCACATTCAGAGCTAGCAGAAGAGTCCACTGCTTTCAGCGGAAGAGACGGGCGGAACACTCCCATGCATGGTGGAGAAACGGGAGTTTATCCTGAGATTGATCTATTTGGGAGGGCCATTGCCTAGGTACATGTCTTTGTTGACATTCAACCCTAGGGAGCATTGCTCTCCAGTGGAAAAAGCGGCGAAATAGCAAGCACAATAATTCGGAGCCTGTCATTGGACTGTCCATTGGTTGAACACCAGCATTAACTTAAATGTCATGATATTATCATATTCACAATTTTGAAAACAGAGAATCGTGCTAATGTCGTCGATGTCAACAGGTTCAATGGGCTTATCGGGGTATCAATCCTCTTTTTATGCAGATCCAGAGGGTTAGTTATGTGACTTTTAGTTACCACTAAACGAGCTGCTCTTAGCAAAACTAACTCAACTTGCTAGAATCCAATTAATTCCACAACAACAAAATAAATATTAATTAGATTATTAAATAGTAATGAGAGTATTATTTAGTTCCATACAAAATAAGTGATTTAATAAAATAGATGTGTGCTTGGCTGAAGAATGCAGCCATGGCAGGAGACCTGGCATGGGGTTAGGAGATTGATCAAAGAAGTATCAATTTCTGAATTAGTAGTAGAAGCAGCAGTAAGCTGCTCCGGGGAATTGAGGTTGACCTCATTTCCTAAACTGGAAGATTGGATAGGGTTTAAAGGATTAGAATTCACTGTAGGCGCCTGCTTCTGCTGTTGCTTTGACATAGTTGTAGTTGAACTGACTGATTTTCACTTCACAGCATGAGTATGAGCCTGTTCTTGCTTCTCAGCTTCAAGCTGAGCCTTTTTAGCCTCTCTAGCAAGCTGTTGAGCTTCGCGCTGCTCTGCCTTTCTAGCCTTCTCTTCCTCACAGGCTTTCTAAGCTGCTGCCTGAGCTGCTTATCATTCAATTCATTTTTGCTAAGCCTTTTCAGCTTCATGTACTTTTCAGAGATCATGTTGAAGTCACTCTTGAGCTTGTTGAGCAGCTTTCTTCTTTTTTTTATGATCTGCTTCCTGAATCCTCTCATAAGCTTGTTGAACTTTGGATGATGAGAAGAATTAAGTCTGACCAGGCTGCTGCTCTGAATTCAATAGACCTAAGAGCTTTCCATGCTGTTATCACTTCTTTTCATTGTATAAAGCTTTATTTAGAGCCTTATTCTTATGCACAAGCACCTCCTTTTCAAAGATAAGCTTCTCACTAGCATGTATGATCTTCTCCATGTCTTTAGAGAGCAGGCTCTGCTGAATTCAAATTCTCTTAATATCATATTGAAAAGCACGAGTAGTTGTAGATGTAGTAATCTTAGTTGAAGCTGAATTGACTAGAGATATATATCATAGCTCAGTCTAGAGATATAATGATATATATAAGACAAAAGCTCAATTCATCTATCTACTAGGTAGCTGCGATGAAAATACTAAACTGAGGATTAGAATGTAGGAATGAAACGAGCAACTGAATATATATAGGCGGTTGAGGATTGGAACGGATCAACCTAAGCAACTGAATATAGTTGAGGTTGGAATGGATCAACCTTATCCTATTTTACCAGCGACTGCGCTGTAATAATTTCGACTGTATTATAAATCAGTGAAGAATACACTTAGAAGTAAATGAATGAATATCAGTGGCAGCAAATGCAGATTGAATATTCTTAGCTGTTAAAGACTGATTCTATATAGAATTGAAGACTAATAAAAAGCTTCTTTTTGTCATTCAAATGAATCTAAATCTACTGCAAAAAAGATTATTAACACTTTGAGAATATACTCCTGCTAGAGGATTAAGAATGTCAATATTCAAAGATTGCAGTCAGTGAGTTGAATGTAGAGGCAGTACTGCAAGAAGGATTTGATTTTGATCTGCAAAATCAATAAATCTTGATACGTACGAGCAATCGAATAGGTAGGATAAATCATGTCTGATTCTCTTCTAATAAGAGGGGCAGATGCCCTACTATATATACATACTATAATCGCTCTATATGGTAGGAGTGATCGCATAGGATAGGAAATATAGGAAAGATTAGGGCCTCTGAGTGGATTAGAGAGGGGCGAATAGAGAGCGGATACTAATATAGGGAGAGGCGGAAGAATAGGGGCGGAACGCCACAAATCTCATATTGATATGAGAAGAGTATCCATCTAAAATAAAAAGATATCTTTTATAGTCTGCTTTAGTCTTGGTGTGTTCATCAAAGATCTGCTTCAGTCAGTTAAGCTCAGAGTCATCATTACTGTAATCTTTCTCAAAAACTGCAAAATAAGCTGTATTATCCTCATTCAGATCCTTTAGCCATGTATCCAACATATTGTGAGACTCTTCTTGATAAATAAAAGCAGATGAAAGAGCTATTCCATCTGCATATGTTGTTGCAAGTAAAGAGATGAATTCACAGCATCTTGAACTGCAGTAATTCACTTTGTCTTTAGAGCTTCAACTGGAATGACCTGCTTACTAGCCTGGTTGATGCCAATTAAGAAGCCCTTTTCATCAAAATTGTAGATATTTGATGGCTTAATGTTGTATTTTCTAATCTTTTCATTCAACTATGTAGTTAACACAGCAAAATAGTTAGCAAGAGCCTATAGAGAAGAATTTAGTGCAAGAAAACAAGCAAAAGATCAAAATACCAGCTGGAAATAATGCTCAAAATGAGTAGAATTATCTGCTATCTTGTATTTTTGATCAATGTCATGGATATGAATTCTTTGAATTTGAGCCTTATAGTGCTTAGTAAAGTGCCTCACCTAATAAATTTCAACAGATTCTTTGATAATTTCCACAATGAGATTTTAAATGATTTGAGGTGTAGTAGCAAAGCTGTGAGCTGCAAGCTTCTCTATATAAAGCAAAAGCATTTGTTCTTGCTGATTTAAAAGCTTCTTCTTATGTTGGGAGGCTGCTTCATCCTGCACAAGTTGCAAGCCATTATAATGATGGTGCAGTGTTTCCTTATTAATTGAGTGCTTCCTAGCAGTTGCAGTGTAATTTTTGACCTTTTGAGCTCTTAAATCCTTAATTGCAAGTTGAATAACTTCTTCATTTGACATCTCACAGCATTGGAAGTCAAAGAATTAAATTGCAGTGCGTCGTAAAAAAGCAGCTCGTTTAGTAGTACGGTTCGTTTAGTGGTAGTTTAAGTCACATATTGTGCTTGTGCAGAAGACTGAGATTCAATTGTTAGGACTTGACTCGATTTAAAATGGGTTGTGATTTCGACCAATGAATATAACTATTATAAGACAGATTGAAACGGGGTTTGGATAAGAAATGTTCAGATTGGTAGTTGAATATCGGCCATGATCTGTTTTTGAAGTTTCTTCCTCCCTGGACTCTTTGAGGCTTGGTGCTTTGTCTTTCATAATAGGCTATGTAACTCTCAAGGGTAAATTCATCTATGTGCTAATCAGGACATAAGCCGTCATTCCAGATGTTCAACTTGCAATTAAAGTATTGAATGTAAGAATTTTGAATTGAGAAATTAGTAAATCAATTCTCATCTAAAAGTTCTACTATTCGTTATTGAAAATATTATTCTTACATCTTCTTTTTAAGTCAACAATAATCATGCTTTGAAAATTTAGAAAGAAAAAAAATATGTAATAATAAATTGCATATTGACATAAGAGACCTGTTGGATGAGAACGTTGTTTTTGTAGCGGATCAGATCATCGATCAGCTCATTGAGATTGATAACAGGGACTTCCGTCCTTGGGCGGCCCTGGTGTAGGGTTTTTAAGTACTGTTGGACATAGGATTGAGCGTAGGTCTTGAGACCATTGATAAATCGTTGTACAAGGAAGGGGTCGGGTAGAGACCAACCGTGAAGGTCGATCTCATTGACAAGCCGGCGCCAGGCTTTTGCATACTTGGATATATGACGCTCGTACTGGTCAACATTGATGTGGGATATTTTGACGAAGTACTGGGCCTGTAGGTCGGCCCAGTGAGATTGGTATTCCAGTTCAAGTGCTCTCCAGAGGGCGGCGGCCCTGCCTATCTTCACACCACCACTGTTGTCTTCTCGACAGAGTTTAAACTGTGCGAGTGTTTGAGGTTCGGGTTTCATGCCATTCCATTGGCATTCCCACAGCTTTGACTCTTTATATCGCCATATCCTGGCGTCATCACCCTGTCTTTGACCTTTTTTTTTTTTTTCATTGAAGTTTTTGAGAATATCACTGGCTTGTAGAAGGATTGCTTTGCCTTCTACTTCTCGCCTCCAAGCTGCATAGTTAGATTCACCAGCGAGCTTGTTGCTGAGTTTTAAATCAATATATCCGAATTCATCTTTGAAATCTATGAACGCGGACGAAGGTGGTGGGAAGAATGATGATGAAGTTGAGGGCTCGATGGGCAGGCCTTAGCTGCCTCATCCAGGCATCTCGAACGAGCTTCGCGGCTTGCTCTTCAGGGAATCCTATGGCTCGCAGGCGTAGAAAATTCGCACAAATCTGGGTGAGTTCATCATTCCCATTGCTAGGGGTGCTCGTAGGAGTGGGGTTAGAGCTTTATTGCTCCATGTTGTCTACTGCTGCTTGTCCTATTCTCTCTATGAAGGGTGGTTTGCTGATTGCTTGATTGTAGTTGCAGGGTGAGGTGAGCTGCTTGTCTGGGTCAGGCGTACTGAATCGCTCGTCTCCTTGACTGCTAGGTTCGTCACTTATCCCCGGATCTAGAGATGGGTGACGGCTTCGGGTGCCCTGCGTAGGTCCCGTTTTGAGGCTTTGCTTGGGCGGCATGGATGTGTTGAACTGCAGAATCCTGCTAATCTTCAACAGACCGCCTCTTTTCTTTTCTTTTCTTTCTTTTTTTTTTTTTCTTTTTTTTTTCTTCATTTTTTATTTTTTATTTTTTTTGGAATTGAGAATAAGCTTACGAACGACTATAGCGGGTAATTACTGCAATCTTTAAATCGCAATGAAACTACGCAGTCATCAAAGCGCTCTAACCTGTTGGATGTTGCACTGATCTTAGTTACGTGTCAAACTACGCGTTGAACAACGATATAATGATCACGTGACCAGAGGGTCTGCTCACAACACGCCGACAAGACCTTTTCAGTGATTCCAATCATTGATGTGTCCCAACATATTAAAGCAGTGATTGCTGTTGGAGATGGGTAAATAAAGTATTTGATCTTTACTTTCTGCTTTTTTATGTTAGTAACTACATCATTTTCTCTATCATTGGTATTAGTCTAGATGTGTACAGGTCTGTGATGATTACAATATTTAATACACTCTCTCCACTTGGATAAAAAGTGTAGATTTTGGCGGGTTGCCAATGTTTCTGTGGAGGCACTGTAGTTATTCCATACATACCGAGGAGGATTATTTTGACCTTTGTTGGATGTAAGGTAATATTTAAAGATGTTTTTTTTTTTTTTTTTAGCTACAATTGAAGTGGATTCAAGGCCTTGCCTGGCCTATCCATGGTTCGTTGCACGTCAAGAGTTCCCGTTCCATAATAAAACTTTCGCAGCTTGAACCAGTTGAACGCAAGTATTCTCAGGGTTGTTCTGTGAGTTAAGGGTTCTTGTTTCATCTCCAACAAGGGTTGATTTGAAGATCTCCACAGTGGGACTGGGCATTTCTGAGGTGCTTGGTTCCTGGTATTCAAATGCTCGTGTTTGGCCGGAACAATACCGAGTCTTGAATATTAATAAATCCGAAAGAACTAGGTCTTTCAGTAACTAGTAAAAAAAGGGACGAAAAAGGTCGCGCCGCAGAATTTGCACAGCTCAAGTACGGGGAGCAAACCACAGGATGGGAATCATCGATCATCCCCCTAAATGCCGCGGGATCTGACATAGCAATCATCTGTCCATATCTCCTCCACGGATCGTCATCGAACGAGCAAATGCGTTTGTTGATGCTGATATACGCCCATTGACGGTTTTGTAGCGTCGGCTGCGGAGAAATAACGTGACCTCAGCCTCAACCCCGGCCAAAGCTCCAAACCTCTTTAACCCTCGACTTTGTCGCATCCCAAGAGATTTTCTTCTCCTTTTTTACTATCTTATCCCGCGCCGCCCACAGCAGCTCCTGGATCATCGCTAGCTCGTTGGGCTTTGGCTTGGATAAGCGGCTGATTGTTTTCTTCGTTTTCTGTTGTTATATCTTGTTCTTTCTCCCCTTCCTCGTTCTTGTTGGTTTCCCTGCTGTCAGAATCATAGCAGGATTTCCCCCCTCTCCTCTAATGAATCTAGTTAGAGCAGCCAACCAGACTTGTTCCCTGTGCCCTTATTTAATGCATGTCACAACCTACAGCCCGTCAGCGCGCCCTCAGTTTCACCCGTCCATCACATTTCTAGGTTATATTTAGCTCTCCCTTTTCCTGACCGCCGCTGCTGCTCCCTCCCCAGCCCCACCAACTTGGAAACGCTGGCTGTGCCTTTGGTGTTGTTATGGTTCTCTGGAGTCCGCGAACCACTGGCTGGCTGCCCTATCTTGACTGTGAGGCAACTCTCCACGTAAAAACAAACGCTCTGGTTGGACTCTCCGCCCAAACGAGCTCTGAACTCTCTCCTCTCTCTCCACTGCTACCTAAGTGCTACTCTGCTATATTGATTCAGCGACGTTCATAGTCGGCACCCAGCCTCATGCAATTCTTCCATAAAAATAAATCGCAGGCGTTACTAGTGGGTTCTGTTGATAACGGGTCCCGCGGCAATCATCTCTCTTTCCATCGGCAGCAGTGCCATCAGCCTTCTCCCACCCCCCATTCCCCTCCAAAATCCCGCTGGCAAATTGCTCAACCCACAACAGTGGCCCTCTCCAATACAACCGCTATTCGTATGTCGACAACGACGACTACGACTACGCTTACAATCAACCCGACCAAACCTCTCATCCTGCCTACGCGTACCAGCATCAACCACCGCCGACTAACGACAATCCGATCCCTGGACTCGCGGTTACGTCCTACTCATCCTTAGTCCCTGAGTCCACTTCTCAAAACTTCTCAAGGCGCCCAACGCTAAATCTAGTTCCAAGTGCCCCGACAGGCCCTGACTCCCATTCCAACTCTGCCAACCCCGACGCGAGTTCGCCCGAATTGTCTTGGACTCCTCAAAGCCTCGAGTCTTCCCATCAGCTTGAATCCCAACCACGCAAGTCAAGGCGGAGCATTTTTGGGTTTCCATCATCCAAGGACTCGACGAGCACCGCGTCTAAGGTTCTGGGCCGGAATCTCTCGGTGCGGAAAAAAGCTGCTGCGCAGGCTGCTCCGCCAAAGCAAGACCCTGCTGGACATATCGCCGAGCCAACTCTGGAAACCTCTGAGGAACACCCCGCGGACTCATATATGCCGCTATCCAAGAGATATCTGCAGTCGAACCAGCAGCATTTCTCCTACCCCTCAAAGACTGCCAACCGATCATCTTCACATATTGACTCACAGACATTCGATCACAATCTAGAGAATCGCGCTGTTCAGCGAGTTAATACTGATCCCCTGTCCAGTGAAGAGTCTTTTTACCAGCAAAGCCAGTCTAGTGACTCATTCCAGCGAAAACATTTCCCAGAAGTTCAGCAGCCCACATCTCGCAATCCCCAGTTCCAAATTAGCTATCCTACGCGACGTGACTCCGTTGCTGGCTATCCGGATCAAACTTCCCAACCACCGCTATATTCTCCTCAGGCGGAACCGCACTCGACCGCCCGACCGCCATCACAACAGTCCGTGGTGCCGCCCCCATCACCACTTCACCAGCACTACCAAACCTCAGACCAAGGCCAGCAGACACCACCAGCTTTTCGACAGACACTTCAACCAACCGCAGCTCCGTCACAGAGTCAGGGAAGTATGTCAGCACCGGAAAAACAGACGGGGCACCGCCAACCTGCGGATAATTCATCTCATCATGGTCAGGGTCGAGAAGGTCTGGGCAGCGGCCAGTCTCAATACCCCGCGAATCTATCTCAAGGCGGGAGCTTCAAGGGCAATCATTCACAACAAAGCCTAGCAGACCCGGAGAGAGAAACCCCACCCCCACCACCTCATACTAAATCCCGCGAAGAGTTTTCAGATGCCGAAGTCCGGGTATTGATGCAAAAACACGAGGAACTCCGTACGTCACCTTTACGGGAGGCTTTTACCTTTTCAATATTTAACCCCTGCCTTCCTCGTCTCTTACCCCTACTGACGATTGCCACGCAGAAGCCAAATATCTGAAGGTAAAAAAGTATTATTTCGAGAAGGATGCTCAGGTTCAGTTACTTCAGAATACTGTCGCGCATCAACGAATGTCAACCTCGCGCACAGTCCTGGATGATAGTGAATATACGACCCGCTTCAATCGGCTGGATGGTGCAATAAACAATCTTGCATTCAACATTCGCAAGGAGTGGAGAAGCATCCCCGTTTGGTTGCAAGGCGTCGTCAATGAGGATGCAGCCGCCGTTGGTACCAAGGAAATGACAGCTGTCGGACGAGCATGCCTCAGTCGATGGTTGGTAGATGAAATCTTCGACCGGCATTTTCACCCCGGCCTTGAGCCCAACTTAAGCCGCCATCTGAAAATGATCGAGCGGAACGTGCGGCGCGGAGCCAAGGTGGCCTCGGACGAAGATAGGGAAAACCATCTTGCCAAACTCTCCGCGTGGCGCAGGACCACGTTGGATGGGTTAGGCGAGATACTGCAGAACCGGGCCGCGGAAGATAATCGATTGCATACCACCAAAAATCTCGTTGAGAATCTCACGGCATGCTTGGAGATGCATCTGCGAATGCCACCACCTGCGGGCCTAGAGAATAGTGTTTCCATGATCGTCGAACTTGCCATTGGCATCTGTGCAAACATCCCCTTTGAATCGAGGGAGATAGCAATAGAATATTTCCTCCCCGGCTCACCTATATCAAACGTCTACATGAAACTGGAAACACCGCTCCTGCCACTCACTACCCCCTTGGGCGACACCCGCGGTGTTGGTGTTTCTGAACCCCAGTCTGCTACCGATCGAATAGATCAGGGCCCAGCAGGAGACAAGGGTGCCGAGCCCAGCCTTCAGTCGGAGAGTGCCATGCTGGATGTGGATAGGGAGAATTTAAAAGACTCCTCGTCTTCCTCTACGACGCACTCTGGACACACGCCTCTGACTTCCATACAGCCCAAGGAGCCTAGGAAAAAATCAGTGTTTGGGTCATTGATGAGCAAAAAGCCGCATTCTGGTCCATCAAGTGTGCCTCAGGGTCAGCCTGAGCATCCGCGATCTGCCTCCTCGCTCTTGCGGGACCGGGATCGAGACCGCGATGAGGTTGAGTATAGAGAGGGTGATAACGGTAATAGCGGTAATAACGGTAGTAGCAATGCTGCCGCAACTGCCACGACGACGAGCAACAATAACAACATCAGTAATAATAGTAGTGGCCGCATCAGGTTTGCTGCTTTCGTTGCTGTTGAGGTCCGAAGCAAAGGCGCGAGTAATGTTATTGTCCGTGCGCCGGTTTATGAATTTCCCTAATCATTTTCATTTCTCTTTTATTTTCTCTTTTTCTCCTGGTCCCCATTTGGGAGGATATCGCAAAGGGCTTCCTAAAGACCTCTATGCACCTATTCCCGGAGTTTCCGATTTGGCAAATATATATATATATATATATATACATACTCTTGGTTTTTATTTTTCTGCTTTCCGAAAATCTTTCGAAGTATATGATGACGGAACGAACTTCCCCCCTTTTGCCATGTTTCCTCTATTTTTGCGCCTCTAGCCTCCTCTTTTCCTTCCTGCACTTTTGTCACACTAATTGCTCCAATGGTTTCTGTCTTCGGTACGGTGTATTGATATTTGGGGACCTGACGGGCTCATATCCCTTACCGTGGGTCCCCTGTTGAGTTTCTGTTGTGGACCAAAAGATGGAGAATTTTAAACGGATGGGACGAATAGCTACAACGGTCATATCGTTTCATCGCTTCTTCTTTGATGAAACCACCACTGTTATTATTTTGGATGGACTCTCTCAATACTTTCACATCGCTCTCGCTGCTGTTTAGAACAAATCAAGTTTCTCCTCCCCTCTGGAGTCGCTGTTGGAATTCAGTATACACGGGGGTGGAGCACATATTGTTGACCGACCTTTCAGATCACGACCTGAGTTCTGAACCAGTAGGCCTGTAATAAGAATACCCGTGTACGTCATAGCCACACATATTTATATGACTATGATTGTCTGTCATCCGCATATCTTATCTTCAGTAACTACAAGGTAGCCGTGGCACGCGCACTCACTACCTCCCATTAGTGAGTGCGCCCCACCGTAAAGAAAACGTCACTGTAACGAAAATCTTTTAGGATCACCAATCTTCAAAAATTAATTAAAATGGTCAACACCATGCCTATCTATAATATAAAGATTATCTACATACTCATTAGAGCGTGTAGAATCTCCGATAGATTGAGATTCATTAATAACGTCACGTTGTGGTTGGTTGGCATTAGATTTGGGGACTTTGATCCCGACCGACCGTAGGACTCTATTCCGCTCTTTTATCGATTCCTCTTCCTTACAAATGCTTGATCTTGCGATTGGCATCCTTGGTAGTGAGGACGCCCCCTACCTGCACCTGCCTGCGGCTGTTTTTGACAATCCGGCGTCTATTCATCAAATAATGAGCAGATAACTCGTTCTCTCAGTGCGCGTTCAATTCCGCCTGTATCAGACTCCCCCTGAAGACCTTATCCAATCACCGGGTCAGACCAGGTGTCAGGGTGTTTTTCATCTCTTGTATGATCTTATCTGCTGCCTCGATTTGACGACGTAGTTTTATGAGTGTATGCAGGGATGTCAACTGAGAAGACGCGGTGGAGGGTCGGGTCTCGGGGGGTGGGGTAAAACTGGAGCATTCTTCGCCGTCACCATCATAGACAAGCAGCTCCGGGCCATCATCTACATTATGTTGCCTCAGGCGTTGAAGGATTACTTCTCGTTTGACTGGATAGATCCCACGGGCGGCGAATCCGACTCTGATGGTGGCAGGTTTGAAGGTTTGCTGACGGACGGACGCTCTCCAGATTAGCAAGGAACTGCCTCCCACCATATTGCTCATATCCGTATCGAGCGGCCTCGTTAACCGCTTTTGTATGATAAATGCTTATATTGCTGGAAAGGCACGCCATCGAAGAGGTTGCAGTAGATGAATCGTATGAGATGGGAATCCAAATATGACGATGTTATGAAAGTCGCAATATTGAAGAAACTCTTCGGTAAGGTGAGATCCGTGATTGTCAAGCAGTAATAATCGATGACTGCGAACCTGGCGTTTTTTAGTGGCAGTGTTAAATTGTTTTATCCATTCGAATCTGATCTCATCATTAGTGAAGCCGGTGTCAGATACAGTGATGGCATAATTGTCAAGCAGGTTGGAGTGTATATACCAATCTTCTAGATGAACCTTTGATTTCATTATAATCAATGGCTTCAACACTGCGCCATCTGCGCTGACGGATTCCGCCACTGTTATTAACCCGCGAAGAATGTGATGATTGTATGACGGAATTGACACCTCGATAGGCGGTTATTACCCATTGTCCACGCCCTTCTCCTTCTTGAAACCCGATCTCGTCGAAATTATAAACATCGCTGGCATGGAAGTTATACTGATTGAAGACGGATTCGTAGCGGTCGAACCAGCTGATAATGAAGCTTATATCCTCATTCGACACCCGTTTCGGATCCATCCGTTTCTGCTTGATCCTCTTATAACCCGGCAGACGTTTGATGAATCGATACGCCCACATCTTGTCCACGGTAGGAGGAGGAGTGTCAGGATCGGTATGATAACGACTCAGCATTCGATTCGCAGCGGCTTCGATATGTTCAGCTGTAGGGGTGCAAAAGGTTTTATCCAATTGATGAATCCACTTCCTGATCGCTTCCTCCTGGCTGTCACTCAACGTGTTCGATTGATCGGAACCCTCATATTCCTTGATCTCTTTCCCTTAACGCGTCCATACAGAGTTCCATGTGGAACTTCGAATTCTCGCGCCACGTCGGTGATTTTTAATTTTGGATTTGATTTTATGGTGTCTAATGCCATCTGAATCTGATCTTCCGAATATTTAATACTATTAGGCATGGTGGTGGTGGTCGGTTATTAATTTTTGAAGATTGGTGATCCTAGAAGGTTTATGTTATGGTTGATGTTTTCTTACGGTAGTTGAGTGCGCGCTTCACGGGTCAATACCAAGTCTGTCGCCCGCCCATATTCAAAGTCTTGGCGCTCTCCAACTGAAACTGATGTTTACATAATCCTCTCAAGCGAAGCCAAGCCCTTGGTTCGAACTAGTCCCTTTCCAGCTAGCCGACAATTATCGATCCCACAATGCAAACATTCTTTAAACGACGACGAACCTTTTACCGACATATTGCTAACCACCACCAACCAGCATCGCCCAACTCACCCCGTCCCCTTCAAGCAAGCGACGATATACCGCTCTGCGCGCAGCATATATCTCCTGTCATGTGTACGTATTACTTCCCGCCTGCCCCTTGTCGCCACGAGGAACAATGTTGGAACTAGTACTAGATGTGGAGAATATGGAATGGCTGACCGATGCGGTTACGTGAACACATATAGCGCTCGTGTCCGGTGAGAAGACGAACTTTCAGTTCATCCTCCGTCTTCTCAACACCAACGTCGATGGCAAGCAAAAGATCATGTATGCCTTGACGAAGATCAAGGGAGTTGGGCGCCGATATTCCAACTTGGTCTGCAAGAAGGCCGATGTCGATTTGAATAAGCGGTAAGCGAATTTCTCTTTTCTTGTTTTTTTATGACTTGGTTGCTGTGTGATTATGCTTGCGGGCTGGGATTGAAATTGGGTGTTGGATATGGAATGGATTTCGATGGGAAGGCCGGAGGGCTTTTTTTTTTTCTTTTTTTCTTTTTTTTTTTTTCGGGATGCAAATTCGGGATTGGAGAGAGATTTGATATTGAAAGGGCTGGAGATGAAGAAAGAGAAGGGAAGGAAAAATTGAAAGGAAGGAAAAGAAACATTGAGAGTGGGAATACAAAATACAACTCCCGAACCGAGTCGATTTCCTTTACAGATCCATGCATCTCAACCCCGCCCAGTGCTCATCGACAAACGAACCCATTCCTCTCTTCCATTTCTACGCAAAACTCCTATACACTGATACACGCATACACATGTATTTATAAATACTAACGTCCCAAAAATAGCGCCGGAGAAATCACCACCGAAGAACTCGAGCGCATCGTCACCATCATCCAGAACCCCACCCAGTACAAGATCCCCACCTGGTTCCTCAACAGACAGCGTGACATCACCGACGGCAAGGACACACAGGTTCTTGCTAACCAGATGGAGTCCAAGCTTCGTGAGGATCTGGAGCGTTTGAAGAAAATCCGCGCCCACCGCGGTCTGCGTCACTACTGGGGTCTCAGAGTCCGTGGCCAGCACACCAAGACTACTGGCCGGAGAGGGCGCACTGTCGGTGTCAGCAAGAAGAAGGGTTAAGTGGCGATGTTTTTGCTCTCTTCTTGTTTTTTGTTGATTTCTTTTTCTCTTTTGTCTGGTGCGTTGGTTCGGGGGTGTGTGGCTGTGGGAAGGAGGGAATCGTATATCTGTCCTCCTCCATATGTCCTTTTCCATATGGCTTGTTTTTGCCGGGACATTCATGGAGTGCAATCGGGTTTAAGTCGAATGGAGGCAAATATACAAGAACAAAACGAAACAAAAAAAAAAAATTGTATGAATTGATCCATTCTTCAAAAATTTCATGATGTTTTTGTTTTGTATGGATGGCTATTTTTCTCGCCCATATTTTTTTTCCCTCTCTCTCTCATTTTATAGGTTATGCCGCAAAATGATTGATTGACCATCGTGTCGCGGTTTGTAAGGAAATGTGCAGGCAAAATGAACTCTCAATTTAAGAGCCGTCGCTTCTCTTGATTTTGCCTCTACTCCGTACGTCCACCCATTCTCTCACGCTGTGCGATTGTGTAACTGATCTCTTCCAACGACAAATATCGTATCCAAAGGTTTCCTATCATTTTAAGGAAAGTCTAAGACTGACTTACTTTTAGTTTAGAGTCGTGAGGGGTATTACTATGATCGACTTCTTTAGGGGGTAGCTGGAGGCAACCCTAGGTTTAAGTAAACCCTTCAAACGACAGTTTGATGCCTTTCACCCCGTTTCGCAGTTAAGGCTAGGCAACCCTCTGAATCTGGCATCTTGGAAAGATGTGATATGTTATTCCTCTAAGTTATACTAGTTATAAGCACCGATGCCCTGTGGCTCTTGCGAGTACGATAAGCCCCGAGAAAAAGTCAACATGACAAAAAGCAGCGCCGCGAAATAAGCACGAATAAAAGTCCAAAGCACAGGAAGCAAATAACGTATATAAACTGCGCATAACAAAATCTGCAGATAAAACGTTCATGGGAAGTGCCGATGTAATGAAAGCTAGAAGATAACATCTGGGTGGGATAATCTGGGTCCCTCCAGCCTTGAAGTATATAAATCTAATTAGTTTCTTTGAAAATTAAGGGGTACAACATGGAACAAATCGAAATGGGATCTATGAAGACTACACTTCCGACCATTCACCACTCAACCAGCTATTGGCGAATTCTAAGCTCGCTTGAGGACTATCGAACGGGGTCATGTGTCCGGCCTTGAAGATGCGCATGAAGGTGAGGTTGCTGTGAGACTTCACCTCGCCGAAAACCTCGTTTTTTCCCTGGCTGTTGATCATAGTTAAGTTTTCCATTGGTGCTTCAGCAAATTTGGCATGGCCTGGGTACTCAAGGGCCTCTGTCCACGCCTTGTTGCCCAACCAGTTGCAGATGAAGTCAGCATCGCCGGCATAGATGAGGACGGGAATTCGGGCAAGGAGAGACGGGACAAGGCGATGATAGGGCTTCATCCAGTCACCGTGGAAGAGGAAGTTGCGGTTAATGTCCATGTTGCAAGATTCGTAGCTGTCGACTTCGACGCCCAGTGACCTCATCACGTGTGGCTTATTCAAGTATTCGGTAATGTAATTCAATTGAGGGTAGCAGAGGTCATTGCCTGTGCAGTTAGTTCGTACGTCGTACGGATTGCGGCCGGTCTTCTGGTAAGGGCCGATAAGGGCATTGTTGCAGTAGATGGAAGCTGGGAGGCAGGTGAATGTGCTCTCGATATCGTAGCAGGATTTAATCATTGAGAGGCAGCGTGGCAGAGCGTTGTCCATGGATTGGCAAGATTGAGAATCCAACACAGAAGGGTATCCACCATCACCACAGGCCATGGGTCTGTAGAATGGATATTGCGAAAGAGGATCTGTTAAGCCATTCCCGATCAGTACGGATTGGAGGTTGATGTTGGTGTTGTTGTGGTGCAAAATCTCCGAAGCGAAAACCGGGATGTAGTGTCCTGCATAGGATTCACCAGCAATATGGAAATCCTGCGCGGAGTACTGGCGGAATTGCGTGAAGAAAAGTGTAAGAAGGGCATAGACGTCCTTGGCAGCAGTTACTGTATCACTGACGGCTTGACTGCTGTACGAGTACCCAACGTTGACTGGTTGGTCGAGGAAAATTATCGACGAGTTTGAGTTCCAGGAGTACGGATTATAGTTGGCCGTGATATTTTCGTCGATACTGGCCGGTCCAAGTTCAAAGAACATACCAGTCAAGCTGGAGCAACCTGGCCCTCCATTCAACCATAACACGACAGGATCTCCGAAAGGATCATTGCGGGACTCAAAAAACCCTGGTCATCCCGGTTAGATAAGTTCAATGAAGGTGTCGGGGGGTGGACAGGGACTTACAGAAGAAGAGATGTTTATCGTTCGCATTGTCATCCAGATATCCACTGTACTGCTTGACTTTGTCGATACCAAGGTCGCTGGGGTCGACAGCTTTGATTCTCAGGTCATATTGTGAAAGTTTCCCGTCGATTTTACGGTGTTTATACCCACTTTCATCATCCACCCAGAGTGCCTCCAAGTCAGCACCCCGGACGATATGGGTCCATTCTGAATCCGGGCGACGCGTGAATTTCTTGGCCGGAATTGTAAGAGGACGCATGTTACTCATGATGTTGGGAATGTTATCCATCACATCATCCCAGATATCTCCGGCCTTGTTGCGTAGGCGATCGAAGGTATCACGCAGCTCCTCGAAAGGGTCTTTCACAACTTGCGGCTCCGGCTCCGGCTTTGGCTCCGGGTCTGGTGGTGCGTGTAGCACATGCTGCAGGGGCCCAGAGGCGATTGCACTTCCAACGAGAAGTCCAAGGACGAGAGACTTCATCTTGGTCGGATGACAAAGCCTCCTGCGGGTAATGAGTTGTTTGTTGTACTAGTCGTAAGTCGATGGGTCCTGATATAGGAACAACGGTTAACCAAGGTTCGGTAACGAGTCATCCCAGTCACATCTGACTACCAAGGTCCTGCCTGGGTGAACATTCAGAGTAGACATACCTAAAACAAAGGCTAAACCAACACTGGAGCTGCCTCGGTGCGCGTAGCAGCCCTGTCAAATGGGATGGGACGGCGAAGGTGAGGTTCAATCGAGGTGGAATGGAGGGATGAAGTTGGGGTTTGAGTGAAAGTGTAGGTGACAAGGACTGACTGCCCGGGGTTCGATGACGGCGTTTTGAGCATTGCATCACGGGGTTAAACCCAGCCAACCTTCTTCAAATAAGGAGCAAAAGCAGCCGAAGCTCCGATTGGCTGGCTGGGGTCGGGCTAGCCAACTACGGTTAAACGACCTCTCTATGTTTGACAAAATTCAAATTAATTAAGCCAACAACCCACAAGTTACGGAGTAAGTAGTAGTTTAACAAGTTACTGGTTAACTAAATATAGATATTACATTACTCTTGGGGGTGTTAGCATTCTGCCATCGAACGTTTACGCTGGTTGAGGAAGCAAGCTCTATTGTCTCATACCTAAGCACCCACACAGTTATAACACAGTTGTGCTGGTTCTCCCGTTCTAGTCTCAACCCTCTCTCTCAACGAGCCGATTGAGCTCCCGAGCCCTAGCAGCCCTAGCTAATAATCCTTCTTGGGTGGTTAGAATACCTTTTCCCGCTGTAATATATGCATGTGGCTTTTCCCTCTTTCACTTCTGCCCTGGCATTGAACAGCTCCCAGCTTCATATTTACTTGTGTTAGTAAGGTGGCACTGCGCACATATTCTTTAACTAGCTGATTGAGAACTTGATTGATGAGACAAAAGAACATTCATATGACATTTAATCGTGCTGCTCTGCTGTTTCAATTGAGTCTCATTACAAGAAGTCTTGAGAATTCAAGAACTGAAATTCATGATGTAATAGACTATTAATAATTTGGTAACTAAGTTTAGTTAACTGACTATATGAACTCAACTCCAACCCCTGACGTAAGTTGCACAATCAAGGGGTCAAATTCCAGTGAAAGTTTTGTTCTGTTTGCATCCTTGCATTCCCCCCTCCAACAGCACAACAACATCGCCTGTATCAACAGACACTGATGAGGATCGTACAAACACCCCCTCTTTACCCATCTGACTCCTTTAGATGGGTCCATCAACTTGTTACCTTTAACGATCATAGCAGATAGTTACCTCTATTTGCTGACATAGTCCTCGTCACTGTCTCATACGGAAACTCAAGTCTGTACATTCCATCCATATCTGCCGTCAAGCAGCCAATCCCCTGAGATTCCCCTCTCCTTTCATCAAGATGCCTGTAGGCATAATCCAACCCTCAAACCAGATAAAATTCACCAACGTCTCGGTCGTCCGGCTGAAGAAGGGTCAGTGGAACCCCTAAAAATCCCCCCCTCTGTCCCCTCCTAACTTTTTAAAAAGCTAACCACTTCCGCGCGCCATCCAGGCAAAAAGCGTTTTGAACTGGCCTGCTACAAAAACAAACTGCTCGAATACCGCTCTGGCACAGAGACAGACCTGGATAATGTCCTGCAGATTCCCACCGTCTTTCTGTCCGTCTCCAAGGCCCAAACCGCCCCGACCGCAGAACTATCCAAGGCTTTTGGTCCCAAGACATCCAACGATGAAATTATTCAGGAGATCCTCCGTAAGGGTGAGGTGCAGGTCGGTGAGCGTGAGCGCAAGGATATCCTCGAGCGCGTTGAGAAGGAGGTTCTCGAAATTGTTAGTGCGAGGCTAGTTGACCCTGTCTCAAAGCGCGTGTATACCACTGGAATGATTTCGAAGGCGTTAGATCAGTTGAGTGCCGCGAGCGGTCAGCAGGGTGGAGGCAGTGGTATTGTTGGCAATGGGGCCAGGAAGGGAAAGACCACCGAGACTATGACTGCTGGTCCTCCTCCTGCCGCTGCCGGTGATGCTCTAATAACTACGCAGGAAGCTCCGGCTGCTGAAGAGTACGACAAGAGGACCAGAAAACCAACATGGACGGGAGTTGTGACGAACAAGTCTGCTAAGAGCCAGGCGCTTGATGCCATGAAGGCTCTGATTGCCTGGCAGCCTATCCCCGTCATGCGTGCGCGCATGCGTCTGCGCATCACATGTCCCACTTCAATCCTGAAACAAGCTGTCAAATCTGCATCTGGATCTGGTGGGGCTAATTATGGTGGTGGTGGTGGTGGTGGCGGAGATCAGCCCACATCCCCTACCAAGGGAGGCGGGCAGAAGAAGGGCAAGGGAGGTCATGCACATTCCAAGGCGCATGATGAGGGTTACCATGTTGAAGCTGCTGCTGCGCCAAAGGCGACGGGAACGGTGAAGGATCGTATCCTAAGCTACTTTGAACAGGTGGAGGAGCAGGATGTGCTGAACGCGGACGAGTGGGAGGTCATTGGATTTGCGGAGCCGGGGGCGTTCAAGGGGCTTAGTGAGTTCATTGGTGGTGAGACGAAGGGCAAGGGGAGAGTGGAGGTCTTGGATATGACGGTTACACATGAGGAGTAGGAGTGAAGATATGAACTGTCAATGTGGATTGATGATTTTTCTTCCTTTCTACGGTAGCTTCTTTACCATTTTTGTTTCCATGCTTTTTGATTCTGTGTTTTTAAGGAGATGCGTTTTGATATCCACTTGAAGACGTTGGTATCGGTGGTGGTCTACCTTTTCATGCCGAATACATACATATATTCTATGCATGGCAGAGATTGTGTGCATCCAGCGGGGTTTGTGATTTACGCACGACTCCGGAATCGTGAGCTGTTTCTCTAGCTACTTTCCTTTTTCGACGCATGTTTTTGCCGGGATACCCATTTCTGCTTAGGAGTATATGCGCATACAATTCGTAGGAACCAATCGTTGTGAATGTTAAATACTGCGGACGCGGGAAACCCCGAATTCCTAAGGACATTTCCGAACAAACGACCCACAATATCAAAAACACACCTCCGGATAGGCGGGATTTATTTATGATCCGTCATTACCGCCCGCTGCAGACCGTTTTGATGTTATGTTACATACGTCTTCTCATTTCCTACGATAAGTTTACAGCAAATGAACAAGTCAGGATAGAAACTGAGAGAAGATTGGTATCTTGACTCACTAATCAACCGCTTCATCAAGTCTTATGCTCCCGCATCCATGGAAACACTGCATGTGTGTATGCAACCCCCATTCTAATTTAAGATCTAGATCTACTTAGATATACTTCAACAGGGGAATCATTATAAATAGCAGACCGCCATGTAGGGAATAGAACCAGATGATATATATCAACGCCCACGCGTGCTCCATTGTCCATGGGCCATATGCAGGCAAAACAATACAAACACCTGCCACGCAAAAGTGATATAGATATAAAACATAAAAAATTAAAAAAATTAAAAAATTAAAAAAAAAAAAAAAATTCTAGACAAAGAAAAGGACAATTCGTAAATTCGTGATTGTATCTTTACCGCGTTTAGCGCTATCGGTAAATCCTCAGGCGTGACGGGCGTGGATGATGACATGACTATCTTCTCGGACAGCAGAGACGGCCTCAGAGGTAAGGGTGGTGGTATAGGGTGGGACTGTCTCCGACGGAGCGAGGGGCGTTTCTTCGGTTTGTAATAACGTGAACTGATGTGGAGGCCGTGCGAGCCCTTTGCGTGGCTGGCAAAAGTTTGGGACGTAAGGCATGTTGTCCTCGACAGGGACGGAATGGCGGTGGGCGGTGCGGAGGAGGGGTTGCATGCAAGCAAGTAAGCAGGCAGCTCAGTGGTTAGGTGTCCATTTTTTTCCTTTCTGCCATCGTTGCTACCACCAGGGGATGCAGCTGGTTTTGTACGTCCAGCCCGAACGCATCCGGCGGTATTGCGCCCCCAGCAGCATATCGCATTATTTCCACCTCGTCCTCTACACTGCCTCTCCGCGAAGGTGACACCCTCGTGCCCAACGGCGATTCTGAAATCATCGACCGTGGTCTGCGCTCTCGAGACATCGCGTCAGTAATCGAATACGCTGCCAGCCGCCTGAGATGTGCCTCGTCGAACGGGCCCCAGTATTTCGACCGCGGTATTTCATGGGCCTTGTAGAGTTCGATCTTCGGCTTCCCGTTCGCTCGGTATTTGACCTTGCTGGGTTTCACGGCAATGGGAATCCTGCTGGCACCAAGTTTGCTGCTGGTGCGCCCGTTCTTGTGCCCAAGGCCGTAGCTGTGCCGTCGGCTGGTGCTGGTGGGTTTCAGACTCTTTGGATCTTTGGACGAGATCTGGGGAGACCCGGACCCGGACGCGGACCTAGACCCGGAACTGGAGCGCGAGAACACACGTTTGATCTTCTCGCGGAACGGCGTTGTGGCCATTATTGGAGGTTTTTGGTTTGAACACGGGCAGGGAAAAGTGGAAAATCCTGCTTGATGGCTGCAGTCTATGAAGAGCTGTGGAAGCAGGTTCAATCTGCGAAATGAACGTGAGCACCTTTTGAGAGGCTGTGGCCCTAAAATTTGCGCTTGGGTTTTTCTGGGGCGGAAAATGACGAAGATTTAAACACCGGTTCCTTTATCTGGCCAAAGGCAGAATCCGGTAGAAAGGGTGACAGGGGAGATGGGTTGGGGGGGGGGGGGGGGGGCGCAGCAAAATATGGTTCCTGTGTATCAGAAGATTTCAACCGTTTTTGAATTCGAGTTATTTTTTAATAGTGATTTAATTTTTATTATTATTGTTGGTTGTTGCTCCCGTGGGTTTCGGCTATCCAGAAACTTGCTACAACTGCCGTGGAGAACAAACCAGGATGCCTAATAACTCTGCTAGCCGGGGAAGATGAGGTTTTGAGAGGGCTGAAGGAGATCGAGGTGGGGGCTACCGATGGTGATAAAAATACTTTTGACTGTTGGATATTCAATCACTTGTTTTGCCTTTCAATGTGCTCGCGATGTCCTTTCCCGGTCCCTCGAACCTTGACATTGCAAGAAATTTCAGGTCAACTAACTAGAGAGTTAACTGAACTAGCGGTAGTTATAGTCGTAACTAAAAAGCGGGAGACACTGCCCGGTCCTATTATTACTACGGAGAGCTCCGGAGT